TAATTTAAGAATAACTTATATAGAGTAGAAAATTCGACTGCAGTTGGCATGATCCCAGCGGGTCAGACTACGAGGGAGCAGCAGTTGATTTTTGATAGTATGATGGTGATGGTTCTTTTTAAAAGGATAAGGGTGACAAACGAGCATACAGTTGACCTGATGGCAAATAGTTACTGTGGCCCATAGACATCTACATCCATTATCTACTACGAATGAAAACGCAGATGCGCTGTCTCCCGTAAGCACTAAGAGGGATTGTCTGGTTTCCAGTAAAAGAGGTCTCCGCTTTTCTTCGCTCACCATAAGAAACACAGCAGCGTTAAACTGATATTTTACGCTTCTATTCTGTAATAGCGTGGTCTTTCCCCGGTCGAGCCGGCCCATTCATGCTACAACTATACTACTTATATAGCTGTAGCAGGATTCCACCACGTACAAACGTGAGTTTGCGAAAATATTACGATTATAACTCACAGGAACAAAACTAAAACACCTTTACTTCCCTTCTATTTATTGAAATAAATTATTAACAACCTTAAACGGATAAGGGCTTGCTTGCACACACTTACTATGTTATATCGGTCTTATATACATAGACTAAAGTTTCATTGACATATAGGTTAACCAACATCGCCATTTTTGTTTTTTTGTTGTGAGAATTTTTTTTTTTTTTTTTGTTTTTTCTTCTCATAAATAATATGTGAAGCGCCCCGTTATTTTTTTGTTTTTGTTCTTCCTCTTTTTTGTATTAAAAAACAAAAAAGCCCAAAGAAAATTTCAATAAAAACTGCAATTAAAAAGAGTCCTCTAATTAAATTAGCGACATTGACATTGGATCTTCAGTTCCTGTTATATTTTTGTTCATGTTAATTTTTCGACAGTAGGTTTACATATTACATTATAATGATATAAAATATAATATTGAAAGAATTTAACTTCTTAATTAAAAGAAATTAAAAAAGTATAAGTCAAAATTAGTTTTGACTAACATTCTTGATCAACACAAACGTATAACTAGTCCCCTAAATTAGTCTAGTAAGACAGTTAATATTACTATATCATGCTCGTAACATAGTGATATTCTGGTATATAGCTATATCCCTAGGGTTCAACTTACTGCGACATTTTTACAACATATCTTTTCTAACGTTTTACTCAATTATATTTGCGCCCATTATCTAAAAAATATTACAGTCATAATATAGCATTATATTAGTGAAGCCTGTTAAATCTAATAGTAAATTTTTCGTAGCTCTACAATAATCTTGTAATTTAAAGGCATTTACCTGAGGAAAACACGTTTAAAACATTAATTTTTCTTAGGATTCAGCGAGAGCAGAGAGAGAGGCAAATTGGTTCTGTATTAGTATCAACGTAACTGACAAAACCCAACGGATCTGTAAGCTGAAGTTGCAATGGGCTAGCCATATAGTTCGAAGAACCAAAAACTGATGGAGAAGAATGGTTCTCAAGGAACAGTCTTCGTACCGGTAAGCGAAATGTAGGGCAACCCTCTACTAAGACTTCTGGCTATAACATGAATCAAATCGGTGGATGCAGGTGTCTCAGGACTGTTTTTGATGATATTCCTTGAAAAGTGGAATGGTGAAGGGAAGATTAACTAAATGAAATAGCATAACTGCATTTGTTAATCATATATAGTGGTGTCGAATTATTACATATTCATTGGTGAAAGAAAACATTGTGAGAAAGCCAGCATAACGGAGAATTATTCAATAATTTCGTGAATTAGAAATCCGTCATTATATACTAATATTCAGTGCGACTATTTTTTTTTTGTTCTAAGTACTGTCAGAACTAAGAGAAGCTTGTAACTAGAAATTGAATAAATATACACAGCTACATTTTAACGGCAAAGTTTTTTTGTAATTAGAATTAAAATTCAATAAGGATTAAAAGATGGATAAGAGGAAATCTTAATTAATATATATCTCAGTATTATAACTTACCACTAATCTAAGAATATGAGTAAGTTCAGTCAAATTCATCAGATTTAATCATTTTAGTAGTAGAGAGATAATCTTTGGCAAAAACATTTATTTTAGAAATACTTGCAAAAAAAAGGAAATTTTGAATTTTCACTTATTAATAGTATTTTCAGAATGCTTTAAACTTTATAATTACTTTACTTAATAAAATCGGCTTAGATATTTCTATCGCCAAGACTAAGTTTATGATTTTTAGTAGAGGTTTTCGACGTCAGAAAATTAAATTAGAACTATATGTAAAGAGAATAGTTGAGACAGACAAAATGCGATATTTGGGTATTTGGTTGGACCGATCATTAAGATGGTCTAAACACATTAATGAAATTAGCCAAAGGATATTAAAATTTGTAAATATATTAAAAGTATTAACAGGGCATGGTTGGGGTATCCATCCGCAGCATTTACGTAGGTTATACTTATCACTTATAAGAAGCAGAATTGATTTCGGCTGTTTTTTATATGATATGAGTGCTAATAGAAATATTTGTAAATTAGATAAAATCCAAAATCAAGCACTTCGTATTATAGGAGGTTTTATCAAAAGTACACCATTACACGTTATGGAAAGCGAATTAAATATAACGCCTCTATATATTAGAAGAAATTTTTTAGCATATAAATATTGTCTGAAAGGTAAATCAAGAACTAATAATACTATTATTAAACTATTAACAGAACTCAGCTTATTCTATCAAGACAGGTACTGGCAAAATAAAAAAGAAACCACTTCTAAATTAATAGAAAATTATAATAATAGTGTGTATTCTTCGGATCCACTAGATATGTTCTCTTTAAATACTTGGGTATCAAGTATCAATGTTACGAACGTAATTAAACAAGACTTAAATAGTATCAAAGGTGCTAAAAGATGTCAGAAGATAAATACTTTAAAGTCGAATGTAATAAACACAAAATGGCACAAAATTTTCTGTGATGGATCCAAAGATAAATATGGTGTAGGTGCCCCTTATTTCGACTCATTGCTGGGTAATAAAAGTATAATTAAAATTGTTAATAATTTTACGATAATTTCAGCTGAATTAATTGCTATAAATGATGCCCTATTACATGCTGGTACAAAAAATTTTAAAAAAAACAGTCATTCTAACTAATATATATGTGCAAGAGTGCTCTTGAACATATTGCTCGATGCGTCTCTGGTCTCAGAGGTGTATCGATAGCATCAATGAAACTTCAATGTAAAAACCGTGAGTTAATATTGCAGTGGGTATCGTCTCACATCGGTTTACAGGGCAATGAGGAGGCTGATAAGCTGGCGAAATTGGCAATCACCCAAGGAAGAGAATGTAATATTTATCCTGATTATTCAGAAATTTTAATTAAATATAAAGAGAAATGTTATACAATTTGGAAAGAATATTTTGATAAAAGATCCCAAGAAAAAGGGATTTGGTACAAAAACATCCAGAGTCAGCCTCCGAAAGTGCCTTGGTTTAATCAATGTCTGTTGAATAGAAAATTTATTGTATTAGCAATGCGACTTCGTTCCGGACACATTCCGTGTAACAAGTTTGCTTTCATGATGAAAATGAAACAATCTCCAAATTGCGATACATGAAAAACAATAGAAGATGTACAACACTTGCTCGCGGAATGTTCCAAAAATCATCATGATAGGAAACTATTAGTTGCCAAAAATGATATTAAAATTTGTAACCTAGGGGAATATCAAAGCATTCTGTCTGAACCATTGTGGTTACGCGGAAACGATTCGTGTATATTAATTTTATTCGAGGGTATTTTGCCAAGTGTCCATCCTTCCTTTGACCTATTGTCCCTCCGTACACACTGAAAGGAGGGGTGAGAGGGGAAAGAGGAGATTCTAGAAGGTGGCGTGATTCTTTCGAGCAATGAGAAGCGCGCCCAACCTAGATGCATTGATAGGAAGGCCGAAGCAATATAAGCTCGCGCGCTGCCCTCGAGTCTTCTCTTGCCACGCGCCGCTAGTCTGAACCGCACCTGGAGCAGTCGCGCTCCAGAAGTAACCGCCTCACATAGTGTGAGATATCGTCGCGCACCGCTCTCTTCCTTCGCACCACTGTCCTGGATCGCATCTCTGGGGCGCCCCAGAAGACCCACCTCACATCGCATCACAGCAACGGAAGCGCCTAAGTCGCATCGAAGTCACACCCCGGTAAGTGTGTTTTTCCTATAATTCAGTGCCTGCTTGAGCATTTGTTTGTTAGCTAACCCGCCCCATTTTATTTCTCCTAACGTGCTCAAGCAGATTTCCTTCATAACCTTGGCAAACAATAGATTTCGGAAGAGCGAGTGCATTGTCAAGGAACCGCGTGCCACATCCCCCATATTGTTGAGGCAGAAGAAGCTTCCCGCGTATACAGTCCATCTAGTATAACATCTCGCGTAATAGGATCAAGGCTCGACCGGGGAATCGAACTCGGGAACACTAAGGCCCGCCGCCCAACCACATGTCTAATGCTGCTCAAATGGTATATAACTTAGTTTAGTTTATTTAACTTAACTTAGTTTATTTTGTGTAAATAATTTAAGAAATTTTAGTGTGTTATTTAGTTATAAGGTACAATGGGACTGACGTGTTAAAAATAACCTAAGTCCCTAAATTAATAAAAAATAATTTAAAAAAACTTATTAATAGTAAGATTAGTTTTGAGCTATACCGTGTAAAATATATACTATAAATAATACCATAAAGTTACATGTCCACCTCATGTATCTTCATATATTTTTAAAACATAATTTTGTGGAGTTTATATTCAAATTATATGCATAAATTTCGCAATTGTTAATTGCTTAGAATATGCAGTTTTTAACTCTTTTTGTTACACTATTTCATTATATAACAATAAATATATCTAATAAAATCAAGGCTTAAAACAGCATGTTTTAAGGGTTGATTTTACTAAACATAACATAGATTCCCTTATAAAATAACTTTATACACATTCAAACATAGTTTCAAATTTTATCTATTGATATAATACAAACATTTTAGAAATTCAAGTAAAGTTTTGATAATACAATAAACGCTAATGTGACAGCATTATTTAAATTGTTTCTTGAACTTGAACTTTGTAGCCAATAACTTTCACCTTTGGACGACAACATTAGCGAATCTTCATTTTTAAGCAGTGTTTCACCGGGACAGGGTAAAGATTCAATAGGTATGTCTACTAATATTAATTCATCTATAACTGGTTTTTCTGTACTATCAAACTTATATGCCGAATTATCCTCGTAAGATTCTTCGTAATTTTGTTGCAACAGGTTACTGTTTGTACCGATTTCAAATACATCTTCAACTTTGTCTAATGTTACGTCTTTAGTGTTCGCTTTCAATTCACGATGCGAATTTGATTGTTCAGCAAAAGTACAAGTTACTCCACTTAAAGCTAATCTAACAGTTTCACTCTTAGTTTCATTTTGAAGAGACTTAATCCAACTTAGTCGGCAATCACACTTAAATTTGTTACCTGTAATAAGAAAAAATAATTGACTTTAAATCATATACTTTTTTAAACAAAATATTTTTTTATTATCTTCAACAAACAATATTACATAAAACAAACATAACTAATACAATAACAGTAATATAATAGTTATGAACGCATGCTTGTTAAGTTTTTGTAATTTCTATTTATAGCATTGAATAATGTTATTAATCCATCGTTGACGTGCCGTAGGGGACTTTTACGCTCATTAAATGCGCTTAAACTGAGTAGGGTGGTAGGGGATCAAAATCCCAAAGAGAATTGCACGCCATTGTTCAGGTAAATATAGGTATTTATCTTCCCGTGTGTGTTTGACTAAATAACGTGTCTTGCGTACATAAAATAATTAGATTACAAAATATTTGAATTTCTTAGTAATCATTCTTTTCTTATTACCATGTTGCATTTGTTTCTTAAATCTAAAGACAAAGTAAGAATAGAAGTTTTACCGAAAGGGCTCTTTTATATATTGTATTTTATCTTAGAGATCTGCTTCATATATTAGAAAAAAAACTTACCGCTCAAGTACAGGACCGAAATTGTATTCTTCAAATTTTCTAAAACTGGTTTGACTGTATCTAAAGAAAAAGTTTCCAGTTGATTATTTCTTAAATCTAATAACTTAAGGCCTCGAATACCTTCCAATAGACCTTCATTAATACATTGCAATTGATTACCGGTCATAGATAATTTCTCAAGCAAAGCGAGCCCGTCAAATGCTCTTTCAGATAAATATTTCAATTCATTGTTATCTAAAAGAAGCTCATTCAAATTCCACAATTCTGTGAACGTTAAATCGCCGATCATTGAAAGCTTGTTTGATCTTAAATCCAATCTTGTCAAATTAGCAAGTCCACGGAAAGTACCTCTGGTGATAACAGCAAGTGAATTCGCCTCCAATTGTAGTTCGTTAAGTATTACCAGATGTTCAAAACATTCATCATGGGCCATATTAATATTATTGAATGACAAATCTAGATACTTTAAACTCGGTAAGTCAACAAAAACATCTCTTTGTATCTCGATTATTTTATTTTCCTTTATTGTCAAATTTACAAGTGACGGAAGTGCTGTGAACGAAAATAAGTCTAATTCTGTAATTTTGTTATTCGTTAAGGTTATTTCTTTTATAGTCGTCATATTTGTAAAAGTTCTTTTTTCTATTTTGTTAAGTGTTGCATAGTGTATATACAGTTTTTGCAATCTCTTAAGGCGTTTAATCACTTGTAAAGGAATGAATGTCAGAGCTCCATCCGATCTGATATTAAAAGTGAGTCTCTCCAAATTCTGTTGAGAATTAAAGCTAGCCCATATTGGATCACTTTCATTAATGCCACCATTGAACACCCAGCAATCGGCTCTAGTGGCAGCATTTATTTCAGTACTTTCACAGTAACAATGTACTTTAGATTCTCTATTCGCGATTTCACACAAATTATCCATAACTTTTATAAAATGATGTCGTCTATCAGTTTTGTCTCTACGTTTTTCATTAAGCCGACTCTCGGTGTGCGATATTTGAACAGAAGTCAATGCCAGAGTTAAGAGTAAATATTTAACAACTAGCTCCATATCGAGTGTTTTCATTTACCTGAAACACAGCAAAAACACATTATGATATTTTTTTAAGATTAAAAAATATTACGATATTATATCATTTGATGAGAGTCGGGAGATGATCTAACTGACAAGTATGCTAAGGCAAGACTTTAATAAGTTTCGCCGAGACAAATTAATTACCACATTGAGAGCGAATGGATGTCTTATCAAACATCATATAAGCAGAAATAAACCATTTAGCGTAGACCTATGCTATGATATTTCTTTTTATTAATTTCGCGCTTTTTTATTACGTACGAAAATCAGATTTTTTTTAAAAATCATAAATTTTAAATTTAAACGTCACGTCAGTTTGTTCGGACGGCACAAAAATTAAAATTTTTGTGACTTCTAGATATCCGCCCGAACGAGGATTTCTGATTCTCCATCATATACGTAAATCTTGTATATCGTCTTATATTTAAGCAAGATTTGTCAAAAAACAAACATAACGCAAACCTTCTTGAATCAACTTTATATTTTAAACAGGATTGCATATGTTTGAATAACTTTGACTCAAACAAAATTATTTAAATTTTTTTTTAAATAGAAAGTCATAAAATTTACCCGATTTTTAGAAGGCAACATTTTTGTATAATATCTCCAAGTTTTGAGATCCAAAGAGGTAGATTCTAAAATTTTAAAGTATGACTTCGTACTTGTGCGTGTATGTCAAAATGTTTTACGTTCGTACATTCAATAAAATTGAACTCCAAAACAACTTTCTTCAACATAACGGGTAATTGTATAATAAACACCGTTTTCTTTCCAATGTTTACAAAAAAATCAAATTTACAATTAGCTTCCAAATGACAAGTGTAAGGTCAAACCAAATCGAACCAACATCAGTGGCCTTATATATCGATACTTAATTTAAGTAATCTATAATAAACGTACTTAAATTAGGTTTTTTATATTATTTTATTTTAGATTATCTCCATATCTTTCTCTTTCTGCTGTCTTGAAGAGAAAAGTTAAAGATCAAGTTTAAGTTTTTACGTAAGTATAGGTCGATTTTTATGAGTCAGGTAGCTATGTCAGATATATTATGATTTTCCTCGTGTAATCAAGATGCTTCGTCCGAAGCAAGGCACGTAATAATAATTCAGCATTCAAATTCGTAAAAAAATTTATGGCAAGCTACGGTTTAAATGAAGAATTTGTAGATATACATGACAGTCTCTGTGTTAAGAGCTGTATCGGTAATATTACTAAGAACAGTATTTGATAGAACATAATTTTAAAAAAATTCCCAAAAATTCATGTAATATTTTGGCCGCCATATTATACTTTTCTTTTTTTTTTTTATATATCCAATATTATAATTACATGTTATCCTTATTCCATTACAAGTGACCATAATAAAAGAGTCACTTTATTAACTTCTATTTTTTTTTTCGTTTTGTATAATCACCTTTTCCATTAAATTATTGCTCATCTGAAGAGTTTTACAAAGTAAAAATAAACCTTCGACTTTTATTACTTTACTTCCAGAGTCCTTGTCTTTGTTTTAAAAAGGTTTTTGACAATTTCATTCGAAAAGACTCGAAGTGAAGAAGGAGGATCGAGAATCAAGTTCGTCTTTTCTTTTTATTTTTATTTTTTTCACTCGAAATATACCAAACCTTTTTCGTCTTCAAATAAGTTATAAAATAAGTATTCAGTTTTACATAATAGAACGAAATCATTATACTTTAAGTCATTTTTGTTTGTGTTATGATTTTATTGCGTTACACGCAGTCAACAATAAAATATACTTTAGAATTTTATTATTACAATGTTTTTGTATTGATATAAGTAGGACTCTTGAAAATCTTTAAATAGTTTATTGTAATTCTTTATGTGTACTTTAGTATTAGGTAATTTTTTTTCTAGACAAGTTTATTTTCATACTTTACAATGTTTATGATGTTTTATTTTCATACTTTACATTGCTACAACGCGTTTGGTATTTGGGTACCTATGTTTATGTGCTTTAAATTAAATAGTATACAAATTCAAAGACAAAAATATACAGACATATTTCTAATAGGTGGTAGGCCACTATATCTGTCTAGTAATCCTTCTGGTTGGATACCACCCTCTTACCTATTTCTGCCGCCAAAAACAGTGCGTGCTCTATTCTGATTTAAAGAGTATAGAGTGCCTGTATAATTACATGCGATAAAACGTTCCATCATTAGCTATGAGAAACCATAAAGAGAGAGAGAGAGAGAGAGAAAGAGACATAGAAAAGAGAGAGGGCGCGTGTGGGAGAGAGAGTTAGTAAAATAATTAATTCCACAAATACTTGGAAAAAATTAAAATAAATCGTATATTTTATGACACAACGAATGTTGAAATTTAAACTATATAGTTTTATAATATTTTGAATTGCAGTAACATACCTCACTATATTTGGTTTACAAATATTGTCTCAAGCCTTTCACACTTATATGCGAGAATAGGCTAAACAATTCAAAACAATTTATCTCGAGAAACCTTAAGATCCTCTTTGGCAACTCAGAACATTAATCCTGTAAGCACAGTGTTCTTCATGCTCTTTTGGAGATAAGCCCTTGAGTTGCTTAATATGTCTTTTGATAATGAAATCCTCTGTCGGACCCAACAGGATACATTTTATTTATTTATTTTGATATAAAAAACTGATAAAAGTGAAAAAATAAAATTACATTTTAACAGAGCGTACACAATGACTAACTAATGATATTGTATGAGAATTCAATACACGATATTATTGTTAAACCGTGGTTATCGTAACAAACAAAAGAGAGAAATAAAACACGAGACGGGTCGCAGCATCTTTTTGATATCAACTCAAAATAATAAAATACTGCTGAAGCTACTATGTAAATATTATGAGAAGCATAAAAATCCATGAATTAGTCTATGAATGAGTGTAAAATTAATAATAATCCAAAACTAGTGTATTTTACAAATAAGAAAAGAAACAAAACATCTTTCCCTATAGATACTTTTAAATGTGATAGAGCCACGCTGCGGCTATCGTTGATTGTAAATCGGTGTTAAAATCATGCTCTTTTGGCGTAGCAAAGCTCATCACCTGCGCTATCACAACCCCAATATCCCATTGGCTACCTTTTACGACATGATAGTCGAGTCACAGTTGGCACATTCTTTGTGGTGTAAGTTTTACACAAAACTAGAACATATAACACCTATAAATCCCAGATCTTTGGACACACGAGGACATGTAAAGCCGCAACACGCATTAGAACTCGGCGGGCTTTTCTTGACCTTAATATCTCTCAGTAATGATATGCGAAAACTAAGACGTAAAAATTAATACGTTTCTTCACTTTTCATTCACGTGCTTTATAAAAAATGTCAAAAAATCTGTATATTTTAAGATTTTAGCTGTTAATGTATAACTACAATAATATAGCTATAACATGGCCCTACCACGTGTAAAACCACGTCCATTTGTAAATCCGTAATACATTATTAGTATACGCATTGCTTATTGATTTTACTCACTCAAAATATTAAATATTATCCTATCTCACCCTTACAGCTTTTAGGTAAATTAATTTCAGGTTACTTCACAAAGTTTCGTAACTTACATTCGAGCATTAGCTCTAGCAAGCGCCTATCCCGATTAAAGTAATTAGTTGTGAAGTATTTAAGGGCAGGATAAAATTTGATTGATGCGCGAAACTATTCGGTACAAGTTAGTTAACTTCACCATAATTTGCGCAGGTTTAGTCAATAAATATGATTTTTTAATACAGCTTTTTTAATAAGCAATGAAGATAGTTAACCTATAAATTATAATAATTATGTTGGATTCGATTATAATAATATGGCGTAAATAATTGAGTATTGCGTAAAACTTGACGAAATAATTACTATACAATTTTTTATATTATTTAATATTATTATTGTTACGACAGCTAATTAAAGAATGCCACACAGTACAATACTGAGCTACCTGCATCTCTTAAAATATAGTCACTCAATCTAATGATTTTAAAGAATTTTTTAAGAATTGATTTTATTATTAACTCAGTTTTAATTAGTGTAGAGCTAATACATATGATTTTAATACTACCAGGATTTGTAGACTTTTTAACCGTGTGTTGGTGGTGAAAGAGAACCAGCGATGGGTGGCAGCGTCAAAAGATCGGTCATCTGCTGCTGGCATCGTTAATATGTCTTCATAACGTGACGGTTAATGTAAACTCCAATTGTAACAGGAGAGGTCAATGTTTGGATCTTGGCTATGATGATCAATTATGTAAAAATATTGCACGTCGTAGAGCCATGCGGCAGGTTGTAGCACGAATGGGTTGGCTAGACCGGGGAGGGACCACGCTCTCACAGAATACCAGCGTAAAATAGTAGCTTAATACTGCTTAATACTGTGTTTCGTATGGTGAGTGTAAAGATCCGGAGACACTTTTTTACTGGAAACGAGACATTCCATCTTAGTCCTCACAAGTGACAACGCATCTGCGCTTTGATTCGTAATCGAGGATGTATATAGAGGTTTATGGGCCACAGCGACCAATTACCATCAGGTTGACTGTGTGCTCGTTTATCACCTTTATCCTATAAAAATGATAAACGCAAGAACCCCCTGAGAAAAGCCCCTTACCCAGAGTAACGGAATTTGATAATGTGAAACAAATATCTAATTTCAAAATTCAATTTTAATTATTATATTATTTTCATTCCAAGCTGTAATAAAGGTTGACCAAAATAATAGGATTCCAAATCGATCTGGGCCTAGAGCGCCATTTAACTTGAATCTAGAAGAACAAAATAAAAACGTAGTTTGTTGACGGTCTCGGGCTCTCTATTTTAAACTTGATACTAATTATAAACTTCTTTTTTTTTTCAAAAAATGAGACGAATGAGTTGGAATGTTTTTATAATGAATGTAAAAAATCTTCAATATTGTAAAAGTATCCTCACGCTAAATCCTCCGATCTAATATACGAACGACACTAATTGGAGTTGAGATC